ACCAAAGATGCCGCGAAATCCGCCTCGCTCACTCTTTCCGGGCCACGCTGCATCGAATCGAAGCGGTACATGGCGCCATCGGTCCCCCAGCGGTACGCCACCCAGTGCTGGTTGTACCAGTTCTGCACAAGAGCTGTCGTGAGGCGCGCGTGGTCCAGGGATTGCACTGGCTCGTCCAAGTTGAGCCCAACACCTCGATTGAACAGAGCGGCGTACAGAATCTGGACGGAATACCACCCTCCAGGCCTGATATGTTCACCTTCGGCTTCATCAATACCTTGCCATTCCTGGAGGTATGTCTCGGCAGCTGTGGCCATGTCCTCTGGGGTGAAGGCTGCTTGGCCCAAAGCATTGTTGAGAGCGTGCATGCCGCATTGTGCTCTGTGTTGGCATTCGAAGAACGTGCCCACGGCTGCTGCTGCTGCTGCCGCTGCTGCTGCTGCTGCTGCTGCCGCTGCTGCTGCTGCTGCAGCCGCTGCTGCCGCCGCCGCCCCTGCTGCTGCTGCTGCAGACTCTGCTGCTGGCTGGTGCTCAGGTCTGAATTTGCAAGACGACGGCGAAGCTGCGGTCGCCGCGGCCGTGGCTCGCTTACGCCCCTTGCTGGCTGGGGCCTTGGCTTTGGCCTTTGCTGTCTGGTTTACTTTCGCCCTGGCTGTTGCCTTGGCTTTCCTTTTGGATGTTGCTTTCGCTCTTCCCTTCGTTTTTGACTTGCTCGTCTTGGCGTCCTCTGCTGGCGCATCCTTTGCACGCTGCTCTTCCAGGTAGGTCCTGCGGTTGAATGGCTGCATGCTATTCAGAATCATCTCGTAGTGGTCATGGCTGTGGGCTGGACGCACGACGCTGTCCCATAGGTCTTGCAGGGCTTGTTGCCTGGGCCCAGGGCTGGCCGCCAGCTTGCTTTTCAATTTTGCCAAAGCCCACGCAGCGTGGTGGTTGTGCTTGAGGCTCTCTCCTTGGAAGCGCTCAAGCGTGCACAGCTGCTGAGTTGGAGAACGGCTCAAAGCCACATACGCCGCGCCAGGCTCCCGCACGGACTTGTCAAGGCGGGCATGCACGCCTGCGTGGTAAGTGGCAGCCTGGCTCTTGTGAATGGTGCAGGCCTTGGCCAAGGTGAGCGGGAACTGAGTTCGGTCAGCTTTGTTGCCATCTCTGTCCTGATAGGTGGCGGTGGTGCGCCGAATGGCTACTGCTGTGCAGGCGTTGGCACTTTCCCACTTGCTGCCCGCGTTCTTTTCAAACTTCACCCACAGCTTGGTCACCTCCTTGGTCTCGAGGTGAAGATCAATGCCCTGGATGGTGCCCCGAGCGCCATTGACCAAACCATCTCCCACATCCAGGTTCTTCCGCAACATGACTTGGGCGCCCTCAGCCACGGTCAACAATGCTTCCAGTCCGCCGGTGTCATCCGCACGCGGCCACGCCTTTTCTGCAGGAAGAGGCGCGCCGGTCTTCATGGAAATATCCACCGAAGGGCATTCATGCAGGACGTTGCCGGTGTGTTCAATGTGGTCTTGGATGTAATGGGAATTGTAGTTGGCCACGGCGTCTCGGGTTGCAAACAAGTGGACTGCTTCCGGCGATGGGCGAGGATTCGCGCTCTGTAGTTCGGGTTGGCGACGGCAAGACTCCAGGGCTGCTGGAGTACGCTTCATACGCTTCCGGGCATGCCTTGGCCCCCACACTCAAGTCCAAGGGTTTTAGGGTTTAGGGTTTAGGGTTTTAGGGTTTAGGGCTTAGGGTTTAGGGTTTCAGGGTTTAGGAACGACACAGACCCCAGACACCGAAATTCCGAAGCCGTTGATGCTCATGGTACTGCTAGACCCTAAACTCTGAGCCTCACGCCCTAAACCCTATGTAGACCCTAAACCCTAAGCCCCAAACCCTAAACCCTAAACCCCAAACCCTAAACCCTAAACCCTAACCCTAAACCCTAAACCCTAAACCCTAAACCCTAAGCCCTAAGCCCTAAGCCCTAAACCCTAAACCCTAAACCCTAAACCCTAAACCCTAAACCCTAAACCCTAAACCCTAAACCCTAAACCCTAACCCTAAGGTCTTAGATCCTAAGCCCTAAGCTGTGCTAACCTCGAGCTCCAAGATGGGATCTCAAGGTGAGCTGACCCGGCCTCAGCCTGAAGAAACGAGGCTTATAGGGTTTAGGGTTTAGGGTTTGGGGTTTAGGGTTTGGGATTTAGGGTTTAGGGTTTGGGGTTTAGGGTTTGGGGTTTAGGGTTTAGGGTTTAGGGTCTAGGGTGTTGGGCCAAGACCAGGGCTTCGAATTTTGCTCAAAGGCCTTTTCGGGCTGCAGAATTGCAACTCCCATGCCCATGCAGTGCCCGCTTTTCCAATGGTGTAGAGCTGAAGAGTTAGAAATCTAGGCTGCCCGATAACCCAGGATGGAAAAGGATGCCCGCTTTTTGCTTAAAGGGTATATGAAGTAGGGTGTATATTTCATGTACCCCCAAAAGGACACCAAACATATACACTCACCAATATTAAAAAGGAACCTTATATACACTCACCAAAAACAGAAATATATACCCTGCTTCATATAAGGGAACCTGAACCCCAACAAAAGGCGATAAGGGTACTCCTGGGCATCATAGAAATTCAGGCCAATGTCCCTGAGGTCTGACCGCTCTCCGAACAGGTCGGCGCAAGGATGGTGCTGGAAGAGCTTGAAGGCAAGCCAGAAGCCGGATGCAGGAAGATGTCTTTCAGGACCAAGCTGCCCACGTCACAGCAGATGCGCTGCTGCCGCCCTGCGCCAGTGGTGGCCTCCAGCTTAATTCGCATGCTGTCAATGAGGGCATCCAGACTGCAAGGCTCCCCCGCCATTTCGAGGAAGACCTCGGTGAAGTCGCCCGTGGCCGGCCGGTCGCGGTCGCATGCATGCACAAAGCCGATGCGCGCAGGCTTGTCACGCATTTGCAGGTGCCGCGCTGCCGCCTGGCGAGGCTGCCCCATGGTTGCCCCCTGCGGTGGCTGCTTTCGGCAAGTGTCGGTGAAGATCACCACGTTCAGGTACGGTAAAGGCTGACAGTTGTAAAGGCTTTTAGCATCCGAGGCACGCTCGATCGTCTGGAACCCCCTCTGCAGGCTTGCTTTCGTCAAGTAGTACTCGTCCAGCAGCGCCAATGGGGCTGCCGCACTCATTGCCATGTGCAAATTGGAGTCCACATCAACACCGTGTGTAATAAAGTACAGAACCAGTAGCACACGCTCTTTTCCGTTCAGCTGTCGCAAGACACCGCCGACTTCTTCCCAAAAGGCTGCTGTTGTCGGCACATCCTTCACATGCTGCACGAAGTCAAAGCCCAGCCCGTCCCTAAAAAGTTTGTCCACGCGCAGTCCTTGTTCATGCGCTCCGTCAAGGTTCTCGAGGCTAGGGTTCCCACCAGTGAACTTACCACACGTAATAACGACCGCGACCCGCATGCCTGTGGGAGAAACCTCCACCAGTGGTACAGCCGGGCCTGATTCGCGCAACAAGCGCTCTCTGCTTTCATGATCCCGACCCCTGAATCGAGCGACGGCCATGCCGATGAGGAGCCCCAGCAGAAGCAGCAGCGCCCCCGTCACACAGATTGTTTTTGGCAGGGTGATGCCGCTTGCCGGCTGTGGACTCATAGTTGTTGAAGGCTTTACGAAGCAGGCTGCCTGTGTGGCCTGACATATCTGCCCAGGGCGCACATCAGCCTCCATGCAGCAAGGTTTTGCTGGTTCGAGGAACAGTTTATGCCTCGGCTCCAAAGGCAGCAGTTTGCCTCCGTTTGCTGTGACCAGGTGGCATTTGCCCAGATACGACAATAACCCTGAAAAGGAGGCAAGGCTTCGCCACAACCTTCATCCATGCCTGTGCAGCCAGGCCCACAAGCCTGATGCTCACAGCATCTCAGTATGCAGTGCAGAAAGAACGGAGGTAGGTTGAGGAAGTCCACAATGTCGCACAGACTCCTGTCACACCATCCTCCGGAACACAACAGCACCTCATGTCCTCAAGCGAAGAGTGGGACCCTCAACGCAGCGCGAGTCCGTGCGTAAGCAGCCGGCCCTTTCTGTGCATGTCCTCTTGAAACTTAGGGGATAGGATTAGGGGGACCCTTGGGGATATAGACCCTCTGAATAAGGTCCTTGTTTAAGAGGGCCAGAAGAGGGTTAAGAAGGGGTTCCCTTTTAAGGGTCCCCCTTATCCTACCTAGGAAAACTGAAGTCACAAGTTTGACCCGCATGCTTCGGGTCTAGGAAGCATCCATTGCAATGGTGCCGAACTCGTTTTAGAGGCGGCTGAGGATACTGCTTATGGCCTAGGGAGCACAGCTCCAAGCATGCTACCAGCACCGCTAGGAGCATTATTGCTGCCGGACCTGCACACGACGCTGTGCTCGGCCAAGCGCACTATATCTCAAACCCTAAACCCTAAACCCTAAACCCTAAACCCTAAACCCTACACCCTAAACCCCTAAACCCTAAGCCCTAAGCCCTAAACCCTAAACCCTAAACCCTAAACCCTAAACCCTAAACCCTAAACCCTAAACCCTAAACCCTAAACCCTAAACCCTAAACCCTAAACCCTAAACCCTAAACCCTAAGCAAAATCCCAAATCGCCGTCAACCTGTGGGATTACACAGGGCATCATGCCCCGAAAACCCTGTACCCTAAACCCTAAACCTTAAACCCTAAGGGCAGCTACTGACTCGACTACCACGTCCAGCTCTTGGGATGTTGGGGCTCATGGCTGTTTATTGTGTAGGGATTTAGGATTTAGGGTTCAGGGTTTAGGGTGAATCAACCGAAAACATAAACCACCTCGACTCCTCAACCCCCCTACAGCCCTATAAGAAAGCCCTATGAGCCCAGAAACCTCGAAATTCCTAAGCCCCGAAGCTTTTGGGCTTCCCCGCTTCTAGGGTTTTGGGCTTAGGGTCTCGGGCTTCGGGTTTAAGGCTTAGGGCTTGGGGTTTAGGGTTGGGGTCTTGACGTGAGAGCGCCGAGCAGCAGGTAGTGTTGCAGCCGCGCTGGCGCCCACACGGTGTCCGGGTCCACCTGCGCCGCGATGGGGATACGGTCATCGGGTTTCGGGCTAGGGTTTAGGGTTTGTAAAGGGTTGATATAGGGTTTAGGGTTTGGGGTTTAGGGTTTAGGGTTTGGAGTTCGGAGTTTAGGGTTTAGGGTTTAGGGTTTAGGGTTTTGGTTTGTTGGGTTTGGGGTTAGGGTTCAGGTGCTTGTTCTCTCAGATGCCAGAAAATCCTCTGGGGCTGCCCCTTGCCGTCGGCCACTGACAACAAAACACGAGAAGACAACCTGGCAAAGAACTCAGGCATACAGTACCTTACCCACACAACAAAAACCAAGCTTTGCTTGTGTACAAGTTGGAGAAGACTCTTGAAACCTAAGCCCCGAAACCCCAAACCCCAAAACCCCAAGACCCTTACCCGACAATCCCGAGATCCCAAGATCCCAAAATCTCAAACGCTAAATCCTAAACTCACCCGCGCCCCAAGAACCCTGGTACCTTCACAAGCCCGTAGCCCCAAAATCCCTAAACCCTAAACCCTAAACCCTAAACCCTAAACCCTAAACCCTAAACCCATGGCGCCTTCACAAGCCATTCGGCGCCCAGGAAGTCCCCGTCCTGCAGAATTTGCCTTCCGAGCGGGTTGGGCTCTCCGGAGCTTCGGTTCTTCGTAGGGAGCTAGTCCTATAAAACACCTTAAAGGAATTTACATTATATATAGATGTGTATATATATACTAAACTTAAATATAGAAGTATACCTGATTAACAAGAAGTAGTAACTCCCTCTCTCTCCCAACCTGCCAACCTCCCTCACTCCCTCACTCCCTCGCTCCCTCGCTCCCTCGCTCCCTCGCTCGCTTACACCGTGTCTCTGTCTCTCTGTCTCTCTGTCTCTCTGTCTCTCTGTCTCTCTGTCTCTCTTTCTCTCTGTCTCTCTGTCTCTCTGTCTCTCTGTCTCTCTGTCTCTCTGTCTCTCTGTCTCTCTGTCTCTCTGTCTCTCTGTCTCTCTGTCTCTCTGTCTCTCTGTCTCTCTGTCTCTCTGTCTCTCTGTCTCTCTGTCTCTCTGTCTCGCTGTCTCTCTGTCTCTCTGTCTCTCTGTCTCTCTGTCTCTCTGTCTCTCTGTCTCTCTGTCTCTCTGTCTCTCTGGCTCTCTGTCTCTCTGTCTCTCTGTGTCTCTGTCTCTCTGTGTCTCTGTCTCTCTGTGTCTCTGTCTCTCTGCGTCTCTGTCTCTCTGTGTCTCTGTCTCTCTCTCTCTCTCTCTCCTCATTCTCTCTGTCCCTCTGTGCTCTCTGTCTCTCTGTCTCTCTGTCCTCTGTCTCTCTGTCTCTCTGTCCCTCTCTTCTCTGTCTCTCTGTCTCTCTCTCCTCTCGCTCTCTCTCTGTCTCTCGTCTCTCTCTCTCTCTCTCTCTCTGTCTCTCTGTCTCTCTGTCTCTCTGTCTCTCTGTCTCTCTGTCTCTCTGTCTCTCTGTCTCTCCGTCTCTGCGTCTCTCTGTGTCTGTGTCTCCCTGTCTCCCTCTCTTCTGTCTCTGTGTCTCTGTGTCTCTGTGTCTCTGTGTCTCTCTGTCTCTCTGTCTCTCTGTCTCTCTGTCTCTCTGTCTCTCTGTCTCTCTGTCTCTCTGTCTCTCTGTCTCTCTGTCTCTCTGTCTCTCTGTCTCTCTGTCTCTCTGTCTCTCTGTCTCTCTGTCTCTCTGTCTCTCTGTCTCTCTGTCTCTCTGTCTCTCTGTCTCTCTGTCTCTCTGTCTCTCTGTCTCTCTGTCTCTCTGTCTCTCTGTCTCTCTGTCTCTCTGTCTCTCTGTCTCTCTGTCTCTCTGTCTCGCTGTCTCTCTGTCTCGCTGTCTCTCTGTCTCTCTGTCTCTCTGTCTCTCTGTCTCTCTGTCTCTCTGTCTCTCTGTCTCTCTGTCTCTCTGTCTCTCTGTCTCTCTGTCTCTCCGTCTCTCTGTCTCTCTGTCTCTCTGTCTCTCTGTCTCTCTGTCTCTCTGTCTCTCTGTCTCTCTGTCTCTCTGTCTCTCTGTCTCTCTGTCTCTCTGTCTCTCTGTCTCTCTGTATCTCTGTCTCTCTGTCTCTCTGTCTCTCTGTCTCTCTGTCTCTCCGTCTCTCCGTCTCCCTGTGTCTGTGTCTCCCTGTCTCCCTCTCTTCTGTCTCTGTGTCTCTCTGTCCCCCTCTCTTCTTATTGTTATTGTTCTTCTTCTACTTCTTCTTATTATTCATAGTATTCTTGTTAATGGTTTTTCCGCTTCTTCTTCTTGTTCTTCTTCTTGTTATTCTTCTTGTTATTCTTCTTGTTCTTCTTCTTCTTCTTCTTCTTCTTCTTCTTCTTCTTCTTCTTCTTCTTCTTCTTCTTCTTCTTCGTCTTCTTCTTCTTCTTCTTCTTCTTCTTCTTCTTCTTCTTCTTCTTCTTCTTCTTCTTCTTCTTCTTCTTCTTCTTCTTCTTCTTCTGCTTCTGCTTCTGCTTCTGCTTCTGCTTCTTCTGAACTTGAGGGGTGCCATAAGTCTCTCTCTCTCTCTCTCTCTCTCTCTCTCTCTCTCTGTCCCACTCTGTGGCAGAGGATAGCGGCGTTGTGCCAGCTAGGCTCTTAAGGGCTTTCGACATATACATTATACAAACACAAAAGGGCGCAACCCGCAACCCTCAACCCTCAACCCGCAACCCTCAACCTGCAACCCTCAACCCTCAACCCCCAAGCCCCATCCCCCCAACCCCCAACCCCCCCCCCCCCCAAGGGTGCCGATACAAAGCGAGGAAAATGCCGAGGTTGAGCGCGGTGATGAACCTCGGCTTTCGTTGCTTCATGTACCTAAACCCTAACCCTCAACCCTAAACCCTAAACCCCAAACCCCAAACCCCTAAACCCCTAAACCCCTAAACCCCTAAACCCCTAAACCCCTAAACCCCTAAACCCCTAAACCCCTACACCCCTACACCCCTACACCCCTAAACCCCTAAACCCTTAAACCCCTAGCCCCGAAACCAAACCCCGGATAAAGAGTTGTCTATTTTGGTGGTGAGAAGGGGGGTGGCGGTCAGGGGTACGTGGTCAGTCAAGCGGCTTCAGTTGCTGTAAAGCCCTAAGGGTCCACATACCTATGTAGTGTATACTAGACCCTAAACCCTAATGTAGTGTATGCTGGACCCTAAACCCTAAACCCTAAACCCTAAACTCTGAGGGGTTACCATGTATAACCAAACCCCTCCAATAGTACTCTGTGGCTGGATCTAGGATATACTCATTAGGGTGTTGACAGGGTGATCGAAGGTGATCGAATCGTCAGTCCTGGAAAGAAGTGCGTGAACGATAAAGGACCATACAATTTGGTATTATTAAAAAGGGCCAGTTTTCGTGCGCATTTAAAAATGTTGAATTGGGTTTTTTAATCGTTCCGTGCGCTCATTTCGCACGCTCACTTCGCTCATACAATTAATGCACGCGTGCGTAAACTTACCGTGCGTACACTCTGTGAAAAAAGGGGCACTTGACTCAGAGACCCGTACCATTCATCTCTCTCGCCGGCGGCTTCTTCACCTCTATCTCTGGCTCCTGTTAATGGTTGATCTGGGTCTGAGTCTTAATGTTGGGACCCTGTGAACTAAAGACCCTATTAACCTGGTCCTCAAGCTCCATCTCTAGCTCCTGCCCATGGTTGATCGCTTACTGTCACACCTTGAGACCCAACTTCTGATATGAGGGCCTTAATGACTTAGAAACCGTACCATCATGAGTCTAACCAGGTGACAGGAACTCTCTCGACAAGGAACCCGACATAGAAACCGCACCATCATGCCCCAAAGACCCTGGAATCCATCCCTGTCGAAGCCTAAACACCACAAAAACTCCATATGAAAACTAGACAAGGCGCTGCCCTCCCATCTCGCACATCATGTTGCTGTGGATGACCCGCGAGACCACCCTCATAGTTTACAGGTTCTCTGTGTTGGGCCCAAACCCTACACCTTCAACAAGTGACTAGGTTTAGATTAAGCCCCCAAGTGAGTTAGGCTTAGGTTTCACTGGCTGAGGGGGGGGGGGGGGGGGGTGTTCTTGCCTACATGCTGGAATTGAAGGCGAGAGTTTGTGCAACCTCTACAGGGCAAGCCAGGGGGTTTAGGGTTTAGGGTTTAGGGTTTAGGGTTTAGGGTTTAGGGTTTAGGGTTTAGGGGGTAGGGTGTTTAGGGTTTACCACCCCCAAGTAGCTGTTATGACACCCGACAACACCTGTTATAACACCCACCGACACTGAAGGGATACTTGGGCTACGTTCTTTTTCTTTTTCTTGATCATTTTTTTTTTTGGGGGGGGGGGGGGTTAGGCAACTTAAACCCTAACCCTAAATTCCAAATCAGACTTGGGCTCAATTTACGGCAAGAGCGTGGAGACTTTCTTCGGCGAACGATGGACCCCCCCCCCATCCCCCCAAATCACTCCCTCACTCACTGGCAAGAAGCAGGACAAGCAGCTTCGGCTAAACCCCAAACCCGAAACCCTAAGCCCTAAGCCCTAAGCCCTAAACTCTAAACCCTAAACCCTGAACCCTAAACCCTAAACCCTACACCCTAAGGTCTGGGAGTCGGGCCTTGAACCCTAAACCCTAAACCCTAAACCCTCAGGCTCAAGGAACTTGAGGGTTCGGGGTTTCCTGAACTTCGGGTTAAGGCCTTTACGGCGGGTTGAGGCTCCAGGGTTCAAGACTTTAGGTTGTAGGGCTTCAGGGTTTAGGGTTTAGGGTTTAGGGTTTAGGGTTTAGGGTTTAGGGTTGAGGGTTGAGGGTTGAGGGTTTAGTTTAGGGTTTCGGGTTTCGGGTTTAGGGTTTAGGGTTTCGGGTTTAGGGTTTAGGGTTTAGGGTTGAGGATTACCAAAAGCTGAGGGCATCATTCGGCCAGGACGCCCCGGGGCAAGCTCAAGCGCCTTCCAGGTGATGCTGGAGGGAACCCCGGAATCCGAACCCTAAACCCTAGACCCTAAACCCTAAACCCTAAACCCTAAACCCTCATTAAACCCGAACCCTAGGGGCACCCAAACCTCCATGGCTTAATGGGGTTTAGGGTTTAGCGACCTTCAGGATGCCAAACGTTTAGGGTTTAGGGTTTAGGGTTTAGGGTTTAGGGTCCAGGGTCTAGGGTCTAGGGGTTTCGTCTTCGATTGTTTGGGGGGGTAGTAGCGTGGTACCCCATGGGTTTGGGGGCAGGTTTGGGGGGCTGGGGGAACCCTTATTGGGCAACTACCCGATGCAACCTCTTGCTTATGCCTTGCCTAACCGCCATATGCCTAAGGTCCCTATCAGGGCAGCTCCTAAAATCCCTACTCAAGTCATCCAACCTTCTAGTCAAAGGGGCTTAGGGCTTATGGACTAAAGGGTTTAGGGCTTCGGCACTAGACCCTAAGCCTAAAATCCAGGCTTCAAGGCGGATGTCGGGCGAGGGAGCAGGTTCCAGGATGTGTACTGGCGCACTTCATGGGCGCAGGGTTTAAGTTTTCGGGTTGAGGGCGTAAACGGCCTAATTAGGAGCTAAGGATTTGGGGTTTGAGGTTTAGAGTTGGGGGGAAAAGGGGGGTTGATCTACGGGATGGATCTTCAGTAGAGCATGTCCTTAATCCTGAGACTCCAAGACCCTAAACCCGTAATTATGCACTTTCAACGCCCCCAATTCAACCGTACTCCTGTGATCTGTCGTGGTATTTTGGGGGTTCAAGGTGCGGAGTGAAGAGATGCTCCCTAATCAACGAACAGTTGTAGAAGCAGACGTTGAGGAATCGCTAGGTTTTGAACATTAGAGTCGCTGCGCCTCCAGCAGCCTCGGGCCCTAAACCCCTAAACTAGATTTTTTGGGAACCCCAAACCCTAAACCCGAAACCCGAAACCCTAAACCCCAAGTCCTAAACTGTCGGGGGGGAGGGGGGGTGCGAAGAACACCTCTCCACTGCGCCTGGCTGCTGTAGAGTGCCCAGCTGTCACACTGGAAGATGCCAACCTGAGGGTGGGCGCCTCTTGTCGGGTTTTTTATAGGGTTTAGGGTTTAGGGTTTAGGTTTCCGCTAAACCCGAACCCCCAAACCCCGGTTTCCGATCCTAATTTGAACCACCCCCCCACCCCCCCACCCACCCCCCAAGGCAATCGAAGGAAGTGCTGACATAAAACTGTAAAGTCTAGGGCTTTAGGGCTGTGGGGTTGAGGGTTTTAGGGCTTTCGGGTTTGAGGGGTGGGCAAACCCTAAGCCCTGAACCCCAAGACATGAAGAGTCGTTGGAGTTTCGGGCTCCTAAACCCTAAACCCTGCAGAGCCCCTCTGTAGACGAAACGGAACGATCCTGCTGAGGCCAGGACCTCCTCCTTGTACTGCATCAACTTGGCGCGGTGGGTTTGGGGTTTAGGGTTTTGGGGTTTTGGGGTTTTGGGTTTAGGGCGTCAGGGTTTGAGGGATTTGGGGTTTTGTGGCTTTGGGGTTTGAGGGTTTTAGGGAATTTTAGGGTTTTTGGGGTTTTGGCTGTTAGGGTTTCAGGGTTTAGGGCTTTAGGGTTTCCAGGGTTCGAGGCATGTGTTTCGTTCGTAGCGATTGTCAGGGTTTAGGGCTCGGGTGTCTTAGGCAGAAGGGTGCTCGGGCTTAAGGCCTAGGTTTAGCAAATTTAGCAAACCCTAAACCCTAAACCCTAACCCAAACCCCAAACCCTAAACCCTAAACCCTAAAAGTCAGGCCAGGATTTGGGCTGGCTCCTTCACAGACAGGGACGACTAAGGGAAGGCACGCCGCAGGGGACAAGTACCTTTCTCTTCATGCTCAGCGGCGGAGTTGAGCCCTAAACCCTAAACCCTAAACCCTAAACCCCAAACCCTAAACCCTAAACCCTAAACCCTAAACCCTCAAGGCCAGAATAAATAGAAATTGTAAGTGTTTCATTACGAGCAGCTCGTGCAATAATCCTTCATCCTTCACAGTGCAAAAATATTAGCCAAACCCTTCAGCCAGCCCCCCTCCAGCCCTCCCCCCCCTCCAGCCCCTCCCGCCCCTCCAGCCCCTCCAGCCCCCCCAGCCCCTCCAGCCCCCTCCAGCCCCCTCCAGCCCCTCCAGCCCCTCCAGCCCCTCCAGCCCCTGCAGCCCCTCCAGCCCCTCCAGCCCTTCCAGCCCCTCCAGCCCCTCCGGCCTCTCCAGCCCCTCCAGCTCCTCCAGCCCCTCCTCCAGCCCCTCCTCCGGCCCTCCAGCCCCTCCAGCCCCAGCCCCTCCAGCCCCTCCAGCCCCTCCAGCCCCTCCAGCCCCTCCAGCCCCTCCCCCAGCCCCCAATGACAAAAGCAAAAAACAAAACCCGGCAAAACCCTCCAAAACCCCCCAAAACCCGACAAAACTCCGGACACAAACCCTATACAATTTCTATAAACCCTAAACCCTAAACCCTAAACCCTAAACCCTAAACCCACTTACTCCTCAGACCCCAAAACCCTTTGCCCCAAAGCGGGGAGGCTTGGTACAAACTTGGCTAAGTCCAATCTGGACACAGGTTGAGCTAGCTCTGTACCGAGCTCGCCACCACTAGGTCCTGCTCATTCGAGTACCTAAACCCTAAACCCTAAACCCTACACCCTAAACCCTAAACCCTAAACCCTAAACCCTGAACCCTAAACCCTAAACCCTAAACCCACCGAGCCCGCCACCACTAGGTCCTGCTCCTTTGAGTAGGCCATGAAAAGCATCACGCAATGCCTTGGGGGAGTTTGGCTCGGCTTCGTGGCTCGGGGAGTTGAGCGGTTAAGGGCGATATGGCCAGTTCTCTGATTTCTGGTCCCCTTTTTGGTGGGTACCCTAAACAAGAGGGGCCGCCTTATAACAAGGACCCCCCAAAAAGCGACCGTAAGAAATCGCCATATGCGGGATAAGGGCTTAGGGTTTATGGCTTCGGGTGCTTCGCTTGAGAGAGGAGGGGGGGAGTTGGCTGAGTTTTTAGGGGGGTTTAGGTTAGGGGTTTAGGGTTTAGGGTTTAGGGTTGAGGGTTAGGGCTTAAGGGGCCAAGGTTTAATATCTGCGAACCCTCAGTATCTTGGAGCGGAGTATGTTTAATCTTTTTCAACGTGCAGACTTGCTCCATGTGTATAGGTGAGGGACCGGAACGGTAAGAGAACCCCAAAGAACTCCTGGCAGTAAAAGAAGTTCCTTGCACTTCCCCCTCCCTCAGACCCTAATCCTGACACCAAAACCCCAAACACCCCAACCGAACACCCAACACTCCAAAACGCAAAGTTCAAAACCCTAAACCTTAAACCCTGAACCCTAAACCCTAAACCCTAAACCCTAAACCCCCCCCCCCCAAAAAAAAACTTCTCAGACAGCTCCGCTGCATCGTCTTTGTCTTTTCGCCCGCCACTTCCTCGATAGGGCAGCAGCCGATGTCCCCAGCGTCATACCTCGCAGAAGCAGCGCTGTGCGGTTTAGGGCTGAGGGTTTAATTAGGGTTTAGGGTTTAGGGTTTAGAGTTTTGGGCTTGGGGCTTAAGGCTTGGGGCTCAGGGTTGAGGGTTTCGAATCTGCCCAAGGAGCAAGCTACAAAACGCAATGATGGAGTGTTGAATCAAGCTGCGTGACTGACCCCTGAAGCCTCAACCCGAGTTCAACCATGAACCCTGAAACCCGAAACCCTGACTCCTACACCCTAAACCCTAATACCCGCATCCATCCCACCCGATGCCATCTAGGGCGGCCCAGCCCAACCAAGCTCTTTTTTGGAGCTGGGCCTCAACTCACATGAAGCAGGGCTCATATTACTAGTATGCCCAAGCGGACACACAGCATCTACACTCACAGATACTTCTAAGGAACCCTACATACATTCTTCCTCACCAGGAACAACAGCAATAGAAACCATGTTTCACATGTTGCCCTTCAGCTTTGCTTTCTGTTGGCTTGTGGGCGAACCCGCAAGCCAAACCCTGAACAGTTGAAAACTTAAACCCTCAGCCACAACTTAAACCCTAAAACCTGAACCCTAAAGCCTAAACCCTACATCTTAAACCTTAAACCCTAAACTCGCCCGAACGCCACCACAAGAGCGGGAACCCAGGAAGGAATAAACTTGGGTGGACCCATGCTCAAGCAGGGGAGACAAGAAAGAAACCAACACCAGTGTTGCTGGTATCTCTAAAACAGGGTCCCCTTTTGGGGTCCTTGTTATGAAACCCCTCTTATTTCGGGTACCCACAATAAGACCAAAATTTCAAGAACTGACCATGTCGACTCTACACACGCCTGGCTGTGCGCGGGCGCCAGTTTGACTTGGAAATTGCTGCCGCTGCGCAGCGAGATACCCTGAGCCCTACACTGCCCTAGACGCTAAGCACTTAGCCTTTTAGCCCTATAAACCCTAAACTTGACATTCGACCGTCTACAGATTGGAACCCTAAACTCTTCAACCCTAAAACCTTTTACCCTAAACCCGAATCCCTAGCTACACTCTACACACCCACCCTGCACCCCCACCCTACATCCTCAACCCTACAACTGTAAACTCTAAACCCTAAACCATAAACCCTAAACCCCAAACCCTAAACCCGAAACCCTAAACGCACTCAAAATAGGGGTAGTGAGGCCCGGGCCCTGCACACTCGGTGCCCGTGCGGATGGGGCTTGTGTCTTTCGGACAAGCATACTGGGCCTCGGTTTAGGGTTTAGGGTGTACGGTTTAGGGTTTAGGGTTTAGGGTTTGGGGTTTAGGGTTTAGGGCTTAGGGGTTAGGGGTTAGGGGTTAGGGGTTAGGGGTTAGGGGTCTAGGGTTTAGGGTTTAGGGTTTAGGGTTCAGGGTGTTGAGGGTTTTAAAGTTGAGGGTTTTTAAGGCTGAGAGTTTGGGGTTGAGGGTTGAGGATTTGGGGTTTCGGAGAGGCTTGAGGGTTTGGCGGGTTTGGGGGAATGAGAAACCCCGGACCCCACACCCGGAGGGTTCGAAGTTGGGGTCCGAAACCCTAAACCCTAAACCCTAAACCCTAAACCCTAGACTTTCCATAAGGTGTTCCCATAGCCCCTACACGCTAAAACCCTCGTGAACCCTAAACCTGGAGGCAGCTTTGGCCCCTGCAGGTCGCTCACAGACATTTTCGGCAGGAACTAAGTTCACTTACATGTTAAGGTTTAGGGTTTAGGGTTTCGGGTTTAGGGTTTAGGGTTTCGAGTTTAGGCATGTCCTTCACCTGATGCCAGAGTTCGTTATGGGCCAACTTCTGCAAGTAGTCTACAGCTCGCCGATAAGGAGGCTCTCCTCTCCATAGTGGCATCGGAGCTTCTGGGCCAAAGCCAGCCAATCTGGCTAGGGTTCAGGGTTCAGGGTTCAGGGTTCAGGGTTCAGGGTTCAGGGTTCAGGGTTCTTGGTTCAGGGTTCAGGGTTTAGGGTTTAGGGTTTAGGGGTTAGGGGTTAGGGGTTGGGGTCTGGGGTTTAGGGTTTTAGGGTTTAGGGTTTAGGGTTGAGGGTTTAGGGTTTAGGGTTTAGGGTCTGGCCTGTGCGATTGTTGACACGCCTGCAAGAAGCAGCCGGGTTGTGTCTAGACAGTGTCGGATGTGGAATCACTCAATTCAATAGCACTCGCTGTGCACAGTGAGAACGGTGGTTTCTCTGCCAGGCACTCCCTTCATTTTTGGTCTCGTGCAGTGCCCGGTCCGGTCATGACAGTCCTTGAGTGCCGCTGCCAGCTCTGCACCGGGCAACTTCTTGCCCTCCGCGACGGTGCTGCTCGGGCTCACATCAGCCATGGTAGCGCTGCTGCACGGAGCGCCGGGAGCGGGATGAGTTGAACACTCACAAAAGGGCCCTACCTTCTTCAAAGGGTTCTGCAAGGAAAATAAGGGGTACATAAGGGGTCTCCAAGTAAGGGACCATAGTCAGGGACCATTCAACTAAACCAAACCCTCAACCCTAGACCCAAAACCCTTAACCCAAAGCCTAAACCAACTAAGGGCCCCACATTAAGGGAGTTGATCCTCACCTACGCCTCGCAGCTCTTGG